GTTTGCCCGTACGTCTAAGCCCGCCGGCCCCAGCAAAGAGAAATAATCCCCCCGAAAGGGGTGTGATCGAAGACGAAGAGGGCGGGCATCGAGGGTGTAGGGTATACGTGTTGAATGACTCGCGGGCAAGTAAAGCGTACAGCCTTAAAATGGTTGTTGTTGTTGTTGTTGAACATTATTTATTCTAAAGAATAATTATTGTTGGGACCCCTGGTGCGCGCCCCCCCTGCGCCGCCTAGGCCGCAGCACATTTTCATCATTTTCGTGAGGAAGTCTCAGGCAAAACGGGTGTGTACCAGGATCCGGTTGTTTTGTTAATCCGGTTTTCCCTTGCAAAAAATAAAGAAAGTGGACATTTCTTGTTCTAACATAACCAAACTTCAAGAATCCCTTGCAACAAATAAGGTAAAGTGGACATTCGCGCGCGCAAGACGAAATCCTTCCAAAACCTTAGTGTTCGTAGCGATTTTAACATAAAAACATCAAAAAACCAATGGTTTTTCAAAAAAAAATGTCAAAATTTCATCCCGCGCGCTCTTGCGGATTCGTAGGAAACCCAACACTTTTTAAACATTTCTGTCAAACGGGCTTTTGCGAGCAACTTTTTCGAACTTCTGCAACAACGGTTGCGCACCTGCCAGGGCCATCATCCCTGTCAAATAATACCATGCGGGACACATTCGTTTTTCTTCGCGCGCGCACGCCGTCGTCGTCGGCCGCGGGGCCCTGAATAGTAGCCACGGTCGTCCGCATGCCACGAAGTGAAGTGTCCGAACGTCATAGGGCGGGAAGCTGGGTGTGGGTGGTGGCGAAGAGTCGTTTGGAAATTTGGTAGAGCTTGAACCGGCCCCCCCACAAAGTGGGGGTATTGCCCGCCTCCTATGAAAACCCTGGCACTGGTGAGAACGGAGTGTCCCCACGTGCTAGTAATTGTTGTTGTTGTTGAACATTATTTATTCTAAAGAATAATTATTGTTGGGCCCCCTGGTGCGCGCCCCCCCTGCGCCGCCTAGGCCGCAGCTACATTTTCATCATTTTCGTGAGGAAGCCTCAGAAAAGAGGGTGTGTACAGGATCCGGTTGTTTTGTTGTAATCCGCTTTCCCTTGCAAAAAACAATAGAAAATGACATTTCTTGTTCTAATATAATCAAATTTCAAGAATCCCTTGCAAAAAATAAGGTAAAGTGGACATTCGCGCGCGCAAGACGAAATCCTTCCAAAAGCTTAGTGTTCGGAGCGATTTTAACATAAAAACATCAAAAAACCAATGGTTTTTCAACAAAAAACTGTCAAAATCTCATCCCGCGCGCTCTTGCGGATTCGTAGGAAACCCAACACTTTTTTAAACATTTCTGTCAAACGGGCTTTTGCGAGCAACTTTTTCGAACTTCTGCGACAACGGTTGCGCACCTGCCAGGGCCATCATCCCTGTCAAATAATACCATGCGGGACACATTCGTTTTTCCTTCGCGCGCGCACGCCGACATCTCCAAAAACCATTGGGCTTCTTAAGAATTTTAGCACCGCGCATCATAAAATCACACGAATCGCACCGTAGGTCCTCGAAAAACACCTGCACGACTTTTCAAAATTTCCACCCGCGCGCGCTGTCCGAATCCTAAAAAAACCAATGGTTTTCCAACATTTATGTTACATGAGCTCGCGCGAGCTACTTTCGCACGCTCTTGCAACGGGGTTCGCGCGCCTGCCAGGGGCCACAATCCCTTGCGGTTGCGCCATAGGTTGCGGGCAGTCCCAGTATGGCAATGTCATGGATTACCAGGTGGATCTGCGTATGCCGGCGCATGTCCAGGGCGTCCTGGCGGCATTGGCGCCCCTCGCACGCACGGGCGATGTATCCGTGAGGAGGCGTATCGGCACCATGCTTGGACACTTGGCCCCTGATGTATTTCTGCCAGGAGCCCAGCTGGCAGCATTGCGCCCCATCCGTGCCATCAGGGACGGGCGTATGCCAGAAGATGACGAGCACACGAACTCGTCTCTTTAGAGCCGCGGCGGGGAAAAGACGGTGGGTGGGCGTGCAAGCGCCGTTCCCGCCCCTCCTTCCGTTCTCTCTTCTCTCCTTTCCTCCTTGTCCTGCTCCTCCTCCTCCTCCTCCTCCGGCGGGGGGCGTGAGGATCCGGCATCGCTCACAACCATCGGGACAACCATCGGGACAACCATCGGAACAACCATCGGGACAACCATCGGGACAATCATCGGGACAGTCATCGGGACAACGATCGGGACAAGCACAACCATCAGGACAACCATCGGGACAATCATCGGGACAACGATCTGGACAACCACAACCATCAGGACAACCATCGGGACAACCATCGAGACAACCATCGGGACAACCATATCCTCTCTCTCTTGTGTATTCCCACATCCCTCAGGAATTTGCCCTAAAGATGTGATCAACTATCTTGTGAGTACGTATCATGTGTATCATGTGTATCATGTACCATATGCATCATATGCAACAGATGTTCTGTGGAAGGCTTAACAACTTCTGTGGGTTAACAAGGCTTAACAACTTCTGTGGGTGTACGAACGTAGGCTTAACAACTTCTGTGGTTGTGTACTCCACGCCAGTGTAGTAGCCACGGTCGTCCGCAGGCCACGAAGTGAAGTGTCCGAACGTCATGGGGCGGGAAGCTGGGTGTGGGTGGTGGCGAAGAGTCGTGTGGATATTTGGTAGAGCTTGCACTGCCCCCCCACAAAGTGGGGGTATTGGCTGGCGTCGCATGAAAACCCTGGCACTGGTGAGAACACTGAGCGTTCGGGTAAAGTGATTGTTGTTGTTGTTGTTGTTGTTTTTGTTGTTGTTGAACATTATTACTTCTAAAGAATACTTATTGTTGGGACCCCTGGTGCATGGCCCCCCCGCCGCGCCTAGGCCGCAGCCTCATTTTCATCATTTTCGTGAGGAAGTCTCAGGCAAAACGATGTCATCCAGATCCGGTTGTGTTGTTACGATCGGTTTTCCCTTGCAAAAAATAAGCTAAAGTGGACATTTCTTGTTCTAACATAACCAAACTTCAAGAATCCCTTGCAAAAAATAAGGTAAAGTGGACATTCGCGCGCGCAAGACGAAATCCTTCCAAAACCTTAGTTTTCGTAGCGATTTTAACATAAAAACATAAAAACCAATGGTTTTTCAAAAAAAAAAAAAAAATTGCCGAAATTTCATCCCGCGCGCTCTTGCGGATTTGTAGGAAACCCAACACTTTTTAAACATTTCTGTCAAACGGGCTTTTGCGAGCCACTTTTTCGAACTTCTGCAACAACGGTTGCGCACCTGCCAGGGCCATCATCCCTGTCAAATAATACCATGCGGGACACATTCGTTTTTTCTTCGCGCGCGCACGCCGTCGTCGTCGGCCGCGGGGCCCTGAAGAGTAGCCACGGTCGTCCGCATGCCACGAAGTGAAGTGTCCGAACGTCATAGGGCGGGAAGCTGGGTGTGGGTGGTGTCGAAGAGTCGTTTGGAAATGTGGTAGAGCTTGAACCGGCCCCCCCACAAAGTGGGGGTATTGGCGGGCGTCGTATGAAAACCCTGGCACTGGTGAGAACGGAGTGTCCCCACGTGCTAGTAATTGTTGTTGAATATTATTACTTCTAAAGAATAATTATTGTTGGGCCCCTTGGTGCACGCCCCCCCTGCGCCGCCTAGGCCGCAGCTACATTTTCATCATTTTCGTGAGGAAGCCTCAGAAAAGAGGGTGTGTACAGGATCCGGTTGTTTTGTTGTAATCCGCTTTCCCTTGCAAAAAACAATAGAAAATGGCATTTCTTGTTCTAATATAATCAAATTTCAAGAATCCCTTGCAAAAAATAAGGTAAAGTGGACATTCGCGCGCGCAAGACGAAATCCTTCCAAAAGCTTAGTGTTCGGAGCGATTTTTAACATAAAAACATCAAAAAAACCAATGGTTTTTCAACAAAAAAATGTCAAAATCTCATCCCGCGCGCTCTTGCGGATTCGTAGGAAAACCCAACACTTTTTAAACATTTCTGTCAAACGGGCTTTTGCGAGCAACTTTTTCGAACTTCTGCGACAACGGTTGCGCACCTGCCAGGGCCATCATCCCTGTCAAATAATCCCATGCGGGACACATTCGTTTTTTCTTCGCGCGCGCACGCCGTCGTCGTCGGCCGCGGGGCCCTGAATAGTAGCCACGGTCGTCCGCATGCCACGAAGTGAAAGTGTCCGAACGTCATAGGGCGGGACGCTGGGTGTGGGTGGTGGCGAAGAGTCGTTTGGAAATTTGGTAGAGCTTGAACCGGCCCCCCCACAAAGTGGGGGTATTGCCCGCCTCCTATGACAACCCTGGCACTGGTGAGAACGGTGTGTCCCCACGTGCTAGTAATTGTTGTTGTTGTTGTAAGTCGTAGTCGTAGTCGTGAGTCCTAAATTCCGAGTAGTAGTAGTAGTAGTAGTAGTAGTCGTATAGTAGTAGTAGTAGTATAGTAGTAGTAATGCACGTTTAGAAAATAGTAGTAGTAGTAAGTAGTAGTAGTAGTAGTAGTAGTAGTAGTAGTAGTAGTAGTAGAGTAGTAATCGTAGTCGTAGTCGTATTCGTGTATCGTATTCGTGTCGTATCCGTATCGTAGTAGTCGTAGTTTCGTAGTAGTAGTAGCAGTAGTAGTATAGTAGTAGTCGTCGTCGTCGTCGTCGTCGTCCGTCGTCGGATCGTCGTCGTCCCGTCGTCGTCGTCGTCGTCGTCGTCGTGTATTAGTAGTAGGAAGTAGGAGGAGGAGGAAGGAGTAAGGAGGAGGAGAGGAGGAGAGGAGGGGGATGAGGAGGAGGAAGAGGAGAGGAGGAGGAGGAGGAGGATGAGGAGGAGGGAGGAGAAGGGGGATTGGCTGGGGGAGAGGGAGAGAGAGGGGGAGAGGGAGTGGGAGAGGGAGGGGGAAGCAGGAAGTTGGCAGACGGGAGGAGGGAGGAGGGAGGATGGAGGGAGAGAGGGGGCGGGAGTCCTGCCCGCGCCCAG